AAAATTACAGCCTGATGATGGAGACATGGATCTTCGAAAGTACTTACTTAACTTAAAAAAATATACACTAGAAACATCTGACAACAGTTTTATAAATGAGGATCACATTTTAATGCATACATTATATTCTACTAGTGAAGTGATTTCGCCATTAATCGCATTAATATTGCTGATTGAGTCTATGCATGATTATTTCTTTATATATATATATATATATATATATATATATATATATATATATATATATATATGGGGGCAGGGGCAAAAGTAGATATGCAGTAATCAAAAAATAAAATATTGTATCGATAATGCAAAATATCAATAATACCATATCAATCGTTCAAATGTTCAAAATGACTGCCCTCGTCATTGACACACCCTTATTTAACACCCAAAATTCTGTTGTTATTTATTAAAAAAAATGAAAACTACAATAAATGTATAGTAATAAAAATTATGAAAATAAAAATATAAATTAACATGAATTCTCTACTGTATACCTACTTTTGCAGCCCTCTATACTGGTTGAAAATGCAAAGACAGATACAAATTCAATCAACGCTTTCTTTTTCTGCGTATATAATCTGTCTCTCACACTCTCTCTCCCTCCCTCTCCCTCTGTCTCACTGTCTCTCTCTCTCTCTCTCTCTCTCTATATATATATATATATATATATATATATATATTCTTTATTGTTTCCCTCTACATCCTAGATCTCTCATTCCTCTATCCCATCCTATCTGTCTATTCATCTGATATATATATATATATATATATATATATATATATATATATATATATATATATATATATCTGATATATATATATATATATGTGTGTGTGTGTGTGTGTGTGTGTGTGTGTGTGTGTGTGTGTGGTCGATGCAAAATAGGTATAAAGTAATGGAAAATATGCATGAAGTAGTGAAAATTCTCAAATAAATATTATAATTGTTGTGGTAGGATCCACCTAATTTGCATAGTGAGTACCGACCATATAAATATGGTTGGTACCGGGAAGAGGGAGGAATCAAGAGATTCAATCCAGAGACTCTGCCCGACTGCGACTAAGTCAACACATTCTCCAGGAACGGTCTTACCAGGAATATACAAAAGACTATATGTAAATATTGTGTACACTTTCTTGTTTCAATACATTTTGTTCTAAGTACATTTTGTGTTGTATTATTATTCCATGCATTAGTCAAGTTTCAACAATAATACTAGTAATACTGGTAAAATACTCACTGTATACCTATTTTTGCAGCCCCCTGTACTGGTTGAAAATGCAATGAAAGATAAGAATTCAATCAACCCTTTTTCTGCGTATATAATTTTCATGATCATTCTCCAGTTCTCTCTAAACTTTATAATAAGTGCAATGCTGTCACTTGCTTTGCTGCTTGTTGGAAATCCTCATCTGTTGTCCTAGTCATTAAGAATTCAGGTGAACTGCCCGACCCTTCCAACTATCGGCCTCTTAGCCTTCTACCACTTTTTGGTAAACCACTAGAGGCCATAATCAACACTGAATTGGTTCATCATCTCATATCGTAGGCCTTTTTTCTCAAACAAGCAATATGGCTTTCGTTTCTCTAGACCAAATGGCGAAATATTAACGACTACTGAGGAAAGAGTCTATCAATCTTTAGATAAGAATGTTGAAGCTCTCGAGTTACTTTGTACATCTCGAAATCATTCAACAATATTCGGCATACCGGTTGAACTGATTAAGTCTTTCTTACCTAATCACAAAATATAAGTTGTCTTGAACGGCAACTCTTCTAGATCATTCTTTTGTACTGGTGTCTCCAAGGAGTTTATCCTTAGTCCAACTTTGTTCTTAATGTTCATCAATGACCTCCTCTGATGACATTAGCCCTCGACTTGGTATTTATGCTGCTGACACAATCATTTATTCCTATCTCGATATTAAGCCTGATGAGATCGATAAAGTCAAATTGGTGGCTGAATTTCAAAAAAAAAAAGTCTGTTTGTTAACTGGGGCAAAGAATGGTTTGTTCATTTTTACGCCCCCGAAACAAAACAGCTTTTTTATTAATCAACTGGGACACCTGTTTCTGCCTTTCATTAGTATGGCTGATGCTGACCTCCAGCTGAGTGAAACATTGCGTCTTCTCGACCTAATATTCTCGGCTGACATGAATTTGAAAGAGTATATTCAATGGATTGCTAGGTTTGATGCTAAGAGATTTGATTCACTGTGTCGTGCTAGACAGCTTCTTTTTTTTCTCTTAAATCTATCTTACATATGTATAAGTCTACCATTTATCCATGCTTTGCATATTATTGCTATACATGGTGTTCTTGCTTTATATTTAAAGGTTCTTTTGAAACTCACAGGACAGTTTAAAGGCAAGAAGGGCAGTGGAAAAGCATTACCTACCGCGATAGATTGTCTAATAGCGGAACAGGGATTAGGAGAGATAGTGAAAAGACAAAATTTAGTACAGTGTAATCCAGATATAAGAGAAACCCGG